CAAGGTCATCACGGTCAGCAGCAATTATCGTATGTGGGTCAACTGTTCGATAGTCAGCAGCAACAGCGGCAGCGGCAACAGTAGTATATAAGATGAAAATGAATTCTATTGTAACTATATCACACCACACATTGAATTATGAAAACATACAGTAGTAAGAGTGGGATAATTTGAAATCGATAGGATTCCAAGGCGGCCGGCTTATGGTTAAACAGGACAGGGTTAATTGGCAAATGAGTGACCAAACGGTTTCCACACAGTTCGCCACTACTGTTATCTTTGTTATCTTCACGTAGGCTCTCGGTCTGTTTCACTTTAAGAAACGATCGATAGATAACAGTAGTGTGCGAACAGGCCTTTTATCCCGATCGCTTCTCGATCGTCAGCAGCTGTAGCCGGTCAGCTGATAGTGTATAAAGATGATAGAATATAAAAATAGAAGTTAATAAACCGTCGCGTTTACAACACGTATTTCAGTACCGTAAAAATAAATGTAATGTACCGTAAAAATAAATCATGAAGAGTTCTAAGTATAATTCCAGTGGACTTCTGAAATGAATGTCAAAAGAGCTCTAAGGCGAGTTTTCAAAAAATTCGAGAAGAACCTCAAGGATATTGAATTCTGAGGAAAGTTCCAAAGGATATCTGGGGAGTATTCCAAGAATATTCTGTGAATAATTTCCAGTGAATCCTGCAGATAGTTCCAAGATAATTCCGAAAAGAATACCGAGAAAATTAAAATTTGAGTGAAATTCCAAAGGGATTTTGAGGAAAATTTCTTGGGAGTACCGATAATTTCTAACCCATTCCGGGAAAAATTTCTGGATAATTTTGAGGAAATTCTTCTGAAACTCTAAGGGAATTTCAGTTCCAATGTGTTCTGAGTAAAAGTCAAGAAGAGTTCTAAAAATAATTCCAGAGGACTTCTGAGAATAATTTCAATAGAGGTCATAGAGTTCTAAAAATTTCGAAAAGACCCTCAAGGAATTCTTCGTTCATATTTTTAACCTGTAAAGAAGAGCATGACGCAAAACATTATTACAACGATTCCTACAGGGTTCAGAAATTGGAAGAAAGCGACCGAGTTGCTGGGAAAACACAATCACAGTGATACCCATGTTGGTAGTATAGAAGCGTGGAAGAATTTCGAAACCAGGAAGGGTATCGACGAAGAACTGGACTACCATAAAACAGCTATGATTGCTGCTAGTGAGGCAAAGCGGCTACAAAATCACTATATAATGGAACGTTTCATCGATATTGTGCGCATACGTGGACATTCGAAAAAAAGGGGAAAGTGTGCCACCCAGTTGGTGGCTAACTACGATCCATTCCATTGGCTTCTGAAAGCAGTTTGCATTGAAGAAGATGAACCGCAACCGGAACAAAATATAAATAAAATTAGCTAAATTGAACAGTAGGGAAACAGTGGTGGGTGAACAGCACCATCCACCACGCACTTTGGAGTACTCCCCATCCCCAGATTAAATGCACCATAGAAAAAAATGCCCCTCCTTAACAATATTCCTGTGCACGCAGTGGATTTATTCACATATTTACAAAGTCATTATACATCACATATAACATATTAAAAACGAGAGACGATGTTTAATAAGACGCGCGAAGACTGAAGCCAAAAGTTCCAATCGAACCGTCAAACGCGGTTCCAATTCCAATCGAGCAATGTAAATAAACACGAGCGCTTCACGATAAAAGCGTGAGGAGTATTGCGATGGCGGTTGATATTTAACTTTTGAGATTTAAATAATTATATTTAAGTTTGCGTATGAAAAATTGGATACTATTTGACAAGTAAAACAAGTAAAATCTTTTGAGATCAAAATCAATTGAACATTTTTGATGATGTTTATTATTCTCATTGAAAAATTGTTTGAAGATCGTTTACGACTGGTTTGCTTATTAGAAACAGGTTTGCAAAACATTTTTGATGAAAATGAGAAAAGCAGCTATTCGCTATCAAAGGGGACCTCCTTCGAATGGGTGATATCAGTTGCTTAGTCATTTGACGAAGGTGCAGGAAGTCTGAAGGCATGGGACATTCTCATTTGAGAAACGCTTGATATCATTCAATTGAGTGTAACCTATATAAACGAAGCTCTGGTCGACATTCCGGCGAAAAATCTAAGCCAACCCGACACCAACCTGACTTCTACCAAACCCCAACCAGATGTTGACCCGACGTAAACTTAAAATTGACCCGACAACAACACGACATTGTGTCGACATCGACCTTAAATTTGCCTTACATTGATCCGACATCGGGTCGACTTGTCTGTTCGGGACCATTTTGCTGGGTTTCTTCCATACTTCACTGTCGTATATCAAATTATAGTGAGTGACTCAATTGACAGTGACAATGAGCTTCGAATGAGAAAGGGGCTCTGCAAATTATGGTCATGTGAGAATTCGTTTTCACAGAATTTATTGAATGGTTGTATTGGTTCATCTTCAATCGAATGATATGAAAATTAACAGCACTGAGTTAGGCGTGTGGCCATACTCCGTGTTTGCACTAAAGATTCACTAGAGTGTGCACTTGGGTGCACCTTCAGTGAAAACTCAGAGTGTATTGATGTTTGATCGGGAGAATAATAGCATTAAACTATCTATTTTAAGATGGATTAAGGTACACCGGGGCTAGTAGAAATGAGGGGAAAGCAGAAAGGGAGGCCGTAACTATATGGGGGAGTGAGCCATCACTGTGATTATATTTAACAGTATAATATAAACTTCAACACATCCTATGACTGACAAATCAGATAGTTACAAACAGCTTTGTGTATTTTACCCATTTTTGGGTTGGTTACAAATGAAGTTACAAAAAATATGCTCAACATTTGAAGCATTGCAACTTGTCCCACAGTTTTACACCCTATGGGGCAAATCGAAATCAGTACAAGAGGCCAAGCTGAAATGGTGGATACTCAATTCTCAGTACAAGAAATCACTTCAATATGTTGAAGGATAGACAAGAAACAGCGCTGGGTGCCTTTAAAAAAAACTACAGTTTTAAAAAAAAGCTCTTATGTTTGCTTTAGAAAAGGGAGGTCGAATTATCTTAAGTATAGTAAATCCATTTTAGCACATTACTGTATACAGTAATATTTGGCTGTATAAGCAGATATGCAGCAAAAATGTATTATTTAGAGACTCTGTTCGAAGTATTTTAATTCTTTCCTATTGTCGCAAATTACGATAACACATAAATGTATTGTAAACCCACAGATGAGTTAAACCAATGGAGGTATTTATGATCATTTGACCAATTCAATTTATTTATAATTGGGTTAACTGTATGGAAATTTCATTATCATTTCATGGTTATATTTCTGCATGGACTGAACTATCCACCGCGTTCATCGGTGGATACTTATATTCCCATAAGTATATAAGTTGATAAGGTTCAGAAACGGTTATTTTATACATGCATCTACATGTTTTAGGAGGAGATTCCTGAGCAAATTTGCGTGCGAAAATGTTTTTTATCTCTGAAAAAACCACAGACAAACAGACGTAACTCTATGAAAAAGTTTTTCTTGAAAACATACTATCTCCAAACATAGAACCTTAGTAAAGACATCTCGCGGAAAACAAGCTTGCTCGCTAACTCGCAATCAATATTGCTTAAAAGTTCTATAGAATGTATAGAAACATCACAGTGATCCGATGCCAGCGCTGCGGCGAGTAGTACGCGGAACTGATAATATTCAAATCAACCGTTAAATGCGTGAACGAAGATACACAATGAAGAGTTATGTCTGTTTGTCTGTGAAAAAAAAACGGTGGACTATAAACAAATCCAAAAGGTTGATCTCTGCGTTTTTCTTAGTCCAAATTTGCTATGGAGACTTAGAAAACATGTTTTTACTCGTATATTTTCTTAAGAACAAGAGAAAAAACACTTTTTTTTTTGATTTTCGATATCTTTTTCCAATATTTTTAGAAGAATCAAAACTTTTTTTTTATTTGTGGTATGCTTCCCTCAAGCTTAAATGCAATAAAGAACAGTCAAAGCATTCGTATCGAACTTTTGCATTGTTATGGTCAATCATTTACATGTGAGCTAAATTTCGGCTATTTAGAATATTGCAAAAAAAAAATCAAAATAGTAAAGTTCAAAAAATTAAAAAAAAAAAGTTATTGTTCTAGTTTTAATAAAAAAATATTCAAACAATGCTGAAGAGGGTGTTTTTTTTTTATTAAAGTTTAAGATTTTTTTTTAATTTTTACTCAAAATCAGTAGAATCTTATCACCATGTATATTTTTCCTGAATAGGAATTATGCTTTCCTACAACTATGTCTCAGACGTCATTTCGATTGGAAGTGACGATTTAGAGTTATGATTTGTTGAAAAATATTGCCTTGCTATAATATTGAACAATTCCGCATTCTCAAACAAAAAATTTGGGAGAGGGTGTTGTAACTCAAAAAGGCATTTTGAAGAAACTGAATTAATTTGGAAATGCCAATTTTATATGAGGAGTAAAATAGATTAGAGCATCATATTCGGTTACGTTAAATTGTAGTTCATGTAAAGTTTTCAAATTCATCAAAACCCAATGGAAATGAATCTTGCTACGCCAATGATGGTAAAGTAAGTATCTATGGGTATACAAAACAATGCTGGTGATTACCTCTCACCCCAGCAGGTCTGGGTTCAATCCCAGTCGGCGCCGCCGGGATGTTCTGAGGCATAACATCTCTGATCACGCCTTCCTTCGGATGGGAAGTAAAGCCGTTGGTCCCCGGTTCATGTTGGTCCAGGTGTGGGAGCTGCCTTCCTGGCACGTCGGTAGCATTGGTGCTCAGCACGGAAAACAAGATCGACGGAAAAAACAAACCGAAGGAAAAAAAAACAATGCTGCCCAGGTTGGTAGATATAGATCAGGAGTTCGAAAAAGAAACAAGATCTTGCATAACGCAAGGCATTTCGGATGTTTACAGAGTAACCCACATATTACATATTACATGTGAAATTGTCTTTATTGATAAATTTGTTTAAATAAGTGTAAAACTAAATGTCACATATCTTACAATTTTTTTATTATAAATTACACTCCAATTTGCTCTTACCTATGAAGATACGGAATTCAGTTAGTCTTACTCGAAGTGCTCAGGTGCTAAGGAAAAGACAAAAGGCCTTATTATGAGTAATTTAGTACTGCAGCAGCCCTTTTTCTGAATAACTTATGGCTCGTGGGTGGGTTACAAATAACTTTATTTTGTTCCACGTTAGCTCATTCAGAAAAAAATGTTGGTCTGGAGTGATTACATTTACATTTAATTAAAAAGACGAAAATAACGAAAAAATAGATGGAACATTGTCGTCAGCATAACGTGCTCCGTGTTAATGCAGAAAAAAAACTTATGCACAATACAAAGCAGATTACTAGACTATAGATTAGTGGAATGTTACGAACACGATATACATTGTTGGAGGCTTTTAATTTGGTTTCACGTAAGAATTAAAAACTCAACCAAAAGTTTACTTCACCACTTAAATTTACTAACAAAACACCAATGCAAGACAACCTTGTTTATTCTACTATTGCTTTAATTAACAAACGGAGATGCGTTCAAATAGACAAGTGGAAAACTCTTAAAAAATTACACTGTACTACTTTTTGTAAGCTGTTATCTAGGTTTAATTCAAAGTAATAAAAAAAACAAATGTGTTTCAATTGCAAGTAACTTCACTCTATATGGCCTGCATATGTGAAATTGTGTGACATATTACACAATTTTTACACTATTACAACAAACAACGTGATCGAGATTCAAATTAGGCTCCAAAATTACTCATCATGTCAATATCGATACAGTGTCGCACCTCAGGCCATTTGGAACTATGTGTTGTGGTGTGATTAAAATCAAAAGCCCTTCTATCTTTTCTCCTAGCGTGGGATGTAAAGTTTTGTCGATATAAAAATATGGGAGTATATATCTTACCAATTTTGCATCGTTCTAACCTAACTCTGTATCTGGATACTTTCTTTGTGTTTCTACTTATCACATTTCATCGATTCTCAAATCTTGAATCGACAAGCACACTCTGATAGTCACTCTGGTTCTCATCGGTCAACAACTAGCAGCCGGTCGTCGTGGTGTGAATTTTTCATTATTAATTTGGATAATCGTCATCGTCTTGGTACACAGGTCCACTATTATTACTGCCAATGCAGCAAAATCTGCTTGTATTTGCACTCAAATTAACACCTTGTGTCAAATCGATAATATCTTGTCCCTGGGCGCGGAGTTCTCGCTCCGTAGATTTCTCCAGTCTCTGCCACTGTTTTACCGCCAGGGCGAAGGCTTCGTAAACGTTGTCTGAGGTTTTAGCCGACGTTTCGATGAATGCCGCAACGTGGTGCTCCTGACACCACTCCGATACTTCTTCAGCCGTCACCTGTCGCTGTGCCGGGGGTATGTCATTCTTAGTACCAACCACGATAAACGGGAAGCGATCGGCTTTTACGTCGTAATATTTGAGAAATTCCTCACGCCACTGTATCAACGCTCGGAAGCTGGCTTTATCATCTACAGCATATGCTAAAAGGCAGATATCTGAGCCACGGTAGAACGGAGTGCGGAGTGCTTTGAAACGTTCCTGACCAGCAGTATCCCAGATCTGAAAATGGAAAAAAAGTGGCTGTCAAAAAGTGGACTTAAGAAAACCTTGAAGCTGTTTAAACTAAAGTAAGGACCCAATTTAGTCAGCCCCCCCACGCATCAAACTTTCATCTTTCAATAATTTCACATAACGTAATTTGAAATCTTTCACATTCATCTCCAAACTGGTTGTTTAAGGTATGCCGTAACCTGCCCTAATTCTACGCAACACAATACCTATCGTGGGTTTGACAGTGAACTTGAATATTTTGCGATGTAGGGGAAATGGCTCTAATGTTGGCCTATGGATCTAAGATTGGGCCCAACGTTAAAAATCTGCTTTTTATCAATTTTATCTAGATGAATGCGTCATTGGAACGGTACTAATGGATATTTTTTGGTCGCTATTGAAAATTAGGCCTACATTACCTTCATTTCCCCTATGTATTCATTTTTTATTTTCAAATCAATTATCGCAAACGTTAGCATATCGAGTCATCTTTCAGCGTGTCGACTCAATGATGAAAAATAAATTCCCTGATAGGGTAGAGCCCTACTTCGTCGTAATCGCCTATTTCCGTTCTATCAATAATATCAATGATTTCACCGTGCACAAATCAATAATAGGCGTTAGTTCATTAGCTACAACATAAATCCTATAAGAGCGCATTGTATGCATATTTACGCTCAATGTTCTCAAAACAAAACAAGCGCTCCTAGCGAATCCCCTTTTTCTACGTTTATCCGTAGAACAAAGAAAATCTAATGGCGTTTGAATGTGTTAGGACGCAATTGAAATTCGTAGGACGAATTTAGAATCAAGAAGCAGTATAAGATGTTAAACAATATCTCAACAATTTGTGACTCTTTATCAAATCCAACGGTACCTATGGAAAGGTGAATAAATTAAGAAGTCATCTTTGACAGAAATATTCCTTTTCTTGTTCAAATCCGTTCAAAAAAGAGAAGTAAACCGCGGGTTGTGCTTAGTAGGACGGAAAATAAATCCAGCCATCCATTAATAGGCACACATTTTTATAGTTGTGGAAGCTCCTAATGTTGGTTCCTATAATAGAGGAAATCATTGTTTCCTATGGATTCTACACACTTAGTTTTTGCTACCGAGCTCGGCTGTGCAAATCTCGGCAAAAAAGTTTTACTGAGATCTAAGCAAACATTTCATTTGTTTGCTGAGATTCAGCTAGTCAAATGTCACTTTTGCTGAGATCTCAGTGAAACTTATTTTTGCCGAGATTTGCACAGCCGAGCTCGGTAGAAGAAAAAAACTAAGTGTGTACAATTTTAATAACACTATCGCAATTATAGGTGCATCGAAGTAGGCCGCGCGATTGAAATGACGTGTTTTGATTTTGCTAAAAAAAAGTCTCTGTGTTTTTATGGTTTTTATCAATTTGAACGATTAAAAAAACTCTAAAATTGATGGTGTAAAAAAAAAAGATCTTATTCCGGATTTGTATCTGAAGGACGAAAAGTGGAAGAGGCTGATAGGCAAACAGAAGGTCATCAAGATGGAGTGAATCAAGCGGGCCGCCATCCGGGAAGTTGAAGCATTTGAGTAAGGGTTGGTCGCCGGTAAGGGCCAGTAAGTGCTGCCAGCAGATGAATCAAGAGGTATTCGAAACAAAATTGGTAAGAAATGTCCATTCAAATCGATTTAATACAGTTGAACAAATTTCAAAACTATATACGTGCCAGATTTGGAAATAATATTTTTGAATCTGGAAGTGTGTTTATGATACCATTATCCATTTGATAAAGGAACATGCGGGGCTTATTGTAAGTAAAAGTGACCTCGGAGTGGTCGTGAATTACCAGGCATTCTGAAATGGGTCACTGGAGCTGCAATAGAGCTAACACCTTCTAACTCCCGGACTAAACCTGCTTTAATTTAAGGGTAATAAAAAGCAGTTTTCTTCCATAATAACACTGCCGGACAGTGGGGGTTAGATTGTACACACACACACACACACACTATTGCAATTATATGTGCAATAAAAAGTTGTACGAGAGTAGCTAAAGACGATTGTAGTGGTTGAAATAGAACTAATTTATTTAAGATGTTAGCACGTTCCTTGTCATCCTTTGGGCTCGCATCCTTGGAAAGTTTCATCGGTACACCTTCATTGGTATGCACCGATCCTTGTTGAACCGCTTCAAAACGGTTTGGATAATTATATCCAAACCGTTTAGCACTTGATCCAAAGTGATGCTGTCAGTTGTTCTGCCGACCCGGATCCCAAAGCAGTGTTTTGCAGTGTCCCAGATCTTTCATCCGAAAACTGTTACTTTAGCTCGATTTTCCATCCTCGTCATTGCTGAATATCATTAAATCGTCAACATAAATAGCGACGATCAAAACGTTCTCGTAACGCATGGATCGTATTGCGTTGATACGTCACAGATCGGCATCCAGTTTTTGTTCAAACTCGACTAGACTGCTTCAAGTCGTACACCTTCGTCTTCCTTATACCGCCAACGAAGCATGGGGGTTGTTCCATGTAGATTTCTTCGTCGAGGTCACCTTACAGGAAAGCCGTCACTGCATCCATTTGGTCGATCATCAAGTCGTGCTTGACAGCCAGAGCCCTTTCGGTGTGAGTAGCCTTTGATGACCAAACGTACCTAGTGCCATTGAACTTCTCCTGAAGCCTCGCGGTTGTTTCATGGCCCGGTTCCACGCATTGCTCTCGTTTCGATTCGGCATTCATGCCAGATGCTACCGTCACGAGACCGTCGTTATCACTCGGTCCACCAGTACTATCGTCATCGGGGAAACCATCGAAGTCGCTCGAATCATCATCGGAGATTGGCTGCGAAAGTGAGATACCAGGAAGGCCATCAACATGAAAGTCTTTGTACTTGCCTGGAAGAACGTGCTCCCGTCCGCTGCGCCTCAACAGCTTTGACCGAGGTGGCTCTGAAGTTTGTCGCAGAGGGAGCACAATGTCAGTTATTGTAGATGGACTGGTATCGTTTCGACACGTGAATCATCTTCTTCATCATTTTCGTCTTCTGTATTCGAATCGCAAGGACCAGTTGGTTCAATCGGAAATGCCAGCTCGAATATGATCTCAATCGGTTCCTGAACTTCCAGTTTGACAAAGGTTGGCTTGCCACACCGCATATCGGAACCTACTGCTTTGGATGGGAACGCCTTTGTCCAGGAAAACGACTTCACGGCTCTTGATAGTTACCTTCTTTTTCGGGTCGTACAGACGATATCCCTTGGTTTCTTCATCGAATCTCGTCAGCACACATTTATGGGATTCGTGATCCCACTTGCGTCGTTTCTGGTTTGGAGCTTGGACCATGGCTTTCGTTCCAAAATCACGAACATGTGAAAATGAGTTATTAAGTTATACATTGGAATCGATTGTCAATACCATCACTTTACAGGGTACAAGAAAAGTTTCATACTTTGTCCAGAAAATGTCGCGAAAAATACCAAAACTATGTTGTCCCATCCATAAGAACCCACGGAGAAAAAAATATTCAACAGCGTTTATCTCAGCTTGCTGTTTTAACGAATGGGACAACTAAGCTGAAAAGGGCAGTGTTTTACTGCTCAAAAACCCGGTAAATTCTACCGACTTCGGTGATCTGAATTAAGTGTGTATGAAATTGATGATGATTTCAAAATATTTAACGGGGAAAGTATACGAGTGCAATCTTAACAACGTGGCCTGCCAAACCAAATACTTTTTGGGGAATTTCGAATGCTTCTTTGTCCGGAAACACTCGGCAACGGCATTCCTTTGTATTGCAATATAAAAAACCGAACCCGTAAGCTGTTGAAAGTCTTCCAGCACGTATGTTTCGTCGTCCATTATGATTAAAGAATTTTTTTGCAAAAACTGTCTGAAAAGTTCCTTAGTACGACTTTTTGCAATGAAATTTTTCTTATCATTACGATTGGGCACCTTTTTCACTTTGTACGCCTTTAGCCCATGCCTCTGCTTCACTTTTTGTAGGGGAGAACAGTACATAACGCACCCCCGGGGTAAGACGCACTTTTTCATGTTATTTTTAGTTTTTCTTGAAATTGTTAATCCAATTCTAGGATTTATCATGCAGGATTTTGAGTTCAGATGGTGCGTTATGCCCAGGGGGTGCGTTGTATACCATTCTCCCCTACATGTGATTTTGATTTTCCAACTTTGCTCACATTACGAACTGAAATGTTTGGCTGTTTCTCAATAATGGCTACCACCCTCTGGTCCATTAGTCGGGAGTAGAAATACTCAGAGGGAGAGATGGGCGCAGAGAATGTTTTGAGCCAATTGAACTGTCAAAATTTGAGCCAATCGAACATTCCCATTAGAATTTTTCCGAGGATTTCTTATTCTTAGGCTGTGGTCCATTTGGTGAATTTTCACTTAAATTTGACACTTCGAAACTAAATTATAATGTTCGAAAATCCCTCTGTCGTTGATCGGCCAATTTTCGAGAAGGTGTGTGTCAAAATTGATTCCTTGTCTGTCAGATATAAGTCTGCTGGAATAGCAGGTTAATTTGGAAATTTTCCATCTGTCAAGTTTAAGTGAAAATTCGCCAAATGGAACACAGCCTTAGGCTCTGAACCATTTGGTGGATTATTTTAACTTTTGGTTAAAATTTGACAGATGAAAAGTTATCGATTAACCCTGCTATCCGAGCGTGGTTACTTCTGACATAAAAGAAGTTAAATTTTGACGACCGTGGCTCGAAAACCGGTCGATCGACAGCACGGGGATTTTCGAACATAAGAAATAACTTTCGAAATGTCACTTTTAACCACGAGTTAAATTTAACTCTGCAAATGGTTCACAGCCTTAGGCTGAAGTTTTAGAATCGAGAAAGAAAACTTGATTCATCATGTTTGCAAGCAACAGAAGATTTGAAGTTATCTGCGTTGTTTGATTTTTTCTCCCGTTCCAGAAATTTGTGGCATCGCGAGTGATAATTTTAATTTATTTAAGCGGTAATGATGTTGGTTCACTCGCAACTATTTTTGAATAA